ATATAGTAGTCCTAATATGTTCTCTGTGATATTATTCATGATAATGAAAATTGTTTTTAAATATTGAGGCCAGAGTAAGTAGATGATGGTAAAAAGTGGCATTTATGAGGAGGTTTTAATAATATGGAAGTACTTGTTTTAACTACAGCGAGATCACAGCTTACTTAACGTGCTACACCTCAAATAGGGTAGGGGTGGGGAAGTCCATTTTTTTCCCTCTGGAAGCTATCCTTAACTCCCTTTTGAGCTCTTTCTCCACTGGAGAGTGGAGGGGTGGGAAGAAATAAGAGAGGGAGAGGTTGGAGTTTAATATAGTCCAACCCAGTTTTTAAAACGTCATCTGATCAATAGTTTAAGCAATCACTTTAGGCAACTGAGTTCCTGTGGAATATAGTCAGGCTCAAAGATCCTCTCCCACATTCCTCTCTTCTCCAAGGTGGTCTCTGGATGTATGGCGGAGTCGGGGTGAGGGGGACTCTCTTGCCTCACAAGGTCCTTTGAAAAGCTTCTGTTCCCGTAGTCCCCTCCCCTGTGATCTCTTAGTCTTGCCCCTGGTATCTGCCTGACCCCTGGTATTCTCATTGCCTCCAATCTGCCCAACCAGGGCAAGTAGGAACCAAAAATGCGACCTTAGGTGGTGGCAGGAAGAGGAACAAGGAACTTGTTACTCAACCTTGTAAAACCAGACCTCTCTCCTCAGTCTCCCGCCTTCCCATCAAGCACCAGGACCGGGACAGGATCTCCCTCCTTCCTTTAGGGACGTCCTCCTTCTCCCTTTCCCGGATACTATAATGGGCAGAATGTTGAGAGAAAGAAAACAGTTTACTGGTAAGGGAACATATATCAGAAAATATCTCACAAATATTATATCCATTTTATAATGTAAAGAGGGAAGGTGCAAAATGTGTTTACGCTATCATCAGAAATTATATAGTATGTGTACAGAAAAGTCTAGAGCTATATACATCATTTTTAAAATGATTTTATTTTTTGTTTTCTTTGTTTAATGGAGGTACTGGGGATTGTACCTCGTGCATGCTAAGCACACACTCTACCACTGAGCTCACCCTCGCCCCTCAAAATTTTAAATAAACCTTATTTTTAAATTGTATGAACAAAATGTTATTACAGAGTCGCTTTTCAGCAACCACAACTCGGAATTTGACTTTATCTCCACTTCTTGCAGGATACACTTATCACTCATCTTTCCCATGAGCTTTGTTCAATCCTTCTGAGACCACTGCCTGTGAAACAGTAAGCCAACTGGAAGGCAAAACTCAGGGAGGGGTGCAGAAAGCAGTTTTCCTCCAACTCCAGCAGAAAGCACCTGCAAAAATATGCTACTTTCACTTATAATAATTTTTAAACTAAAATCACAGGAAGTGGTACTTGCTGTTAATGTTAATAAGCCCAGGGAATAAGATATCTTATTTTGCTTTCTTTTGTAGGTCACCAGATCAATCTCAAAGTCAAGCAGATGAACCTAGTGTTAAAAATGCCCAATATCAGCAAAATAACAAGGTAAATTCATATTTTTATATGTCGGTTTTAATTACTCAATTTGAATTTTGAAGGAAATTTCTGGGCCTGACTTACTTCAAATAGAGATAAGTAAAAGCACTTTTCCTTTATTTGCCAGGCTTTTAAATTTAGTATTTTAAGAGGGAAAAGGGCATTTCCTGGCACAAAAAGGACAGACAGAGGCTGGCATTAACTGAAATGTGTAGACAAAACAGTAAAATAACAGAAATAATCCAAATATTTTTTACAGTATAAGATATTCTACACCATAGTATATATAATATATAATATATATAACAATAGTATAATATTCCTAACTTTTTCTCATAAAAATATACATTCAATTTATCAAATGCATTTCAACAAGGTTGAAATTTTCATAATAATGATTAATAATTCCTGGAACTGAGTAATTATATATATATATATGTAATACTTGTAAAATAGCTGTTTGTTTCAAATAATCAGCTAAAGTGAACAATGAGTGACTTCAAAAATTCCTAAAACTTCATCCTCAGATAAACATTCCTTCCAGTGTCCTAAATGTCTCTTTTGAAATACTCATCCACTCAATCAACTTATTTGACTAAAATGATTTTTATTTTACAAAGGGAAATAACTTATCTAATAATCAGGTTAAATACAGCTTACACAGAGCTTTTTAAATAACTTTTGGGAAAATACCTTGAATAATTTTTAGCCAAAAATTGCCAAGTTTCAAAAATTATACCTAGTCTTTGATGGTAAGAGTGACATTCAGCTAGTGTCCACTCTACCTGAGGTCTCTCTCTATATAGTGCTAGATGGAAACAAACACTGTAAAACTTGTAATTGAAACTAGTCATTACAGTCAATATACAGCCAGGAAGGATACCGAGCCTGTCACACCAAATGCTAGTCACAATTTCATGTGTCCAAGCACACACAGGGAATATTGTGTACCATTTTGACTTCCAGAAACAAAGAAAATTGGAAAGACAGGAAAGATTCAACTTTGGGCCATAAAATCACAATAGGACACAGGATCTGATATTAACAAAATGCCCAGGATGACGTAAATGCCAACTGAAATCTGGAAGTACCAGGTAGAATTAAGAACCACATTTCAAATGAAGCAGCAGCTTGGACTAATGGTATCTGCTCTGGTTGGAAGGGAACACAGGGCTTAGATTCACAAACTAATTGCTACCCTTGTTTCAAGAGATCGATTCAGCCTGAGAATCTAATAGGTTTAAGAAGAGATAGAACAGATTCGTAGTAGGTTGTAAAGGTAGGAATGTTTGGGGGTCGGGGCAGGCATCTCCCACCTTTCGAAGAAGACACCCTAAATGGCAAGCATGTTATCTCATCCACCAGCAGAGGTAAGGTTGGAATGAACCAGTAGTTTGATCTTGGGTGGCATTTCTAAAGTTCTTAAAACAATTTCTCTTCCAGGTAACCAGGAAAAGTAATTCTGAATTACTGAATGCAGGATATGAAGAATTTAATCATCAAGATTGGGAAGCATATTAAAAACTGGAAATGTACAAATTATCATTTAATCTGTCTCGAGAGATGGCTTGCTTTCTCAAGGAAAACCATATCCACTCTGTCAAAATTCTGAAAACATAAGCACTCATATTTACTGGTCATTGGAATCCAGGCATGTAGGTGACACTGAGAACCAGAACACACTACATTTCAACTAAAGAAGAGTCATATCCATGAAGACCAAGAAATTCTGAAGGAAAAGGCTTGTTATCAAAACCCAAAACACAATCAGTGAAACATGTTTTGGTTATTCCTGGGTGAGTCAAGGTGATAGCAACCCAGATTTGTGTCCAGCTGCCCTTAAAATATTGCTCACAGATTATTTACAAGTGCAACTTACTTATTAACTGGGGAGGGTGTGGGATTGACAATATACTGGGAAACAAAGCTCTTCATATGTTAGAAAGTACATAAAAGATGACTACGTATGCAAGGAGATGCAGGATGAATGCATACGTAAAACTCACACCGTACGTAAACTGTGGTGTGTATGTAGACGCTCCAATTTCGTCTAACTCACAGACCCCTTTAGTTCTTAGGCACATTAGCTTTATAAGAAATCACTGCTTCCACAGTAGATAATTTTGTTGCCAATAATTTCTAAGTTGTTCCCTTAAAGAAAAGAACTGGGATATACATATCATGGAGAGTCATATTTTTCTTGTTAATGCATAAAGTTATTTTAAAGAAAGACACTATATTGGGAAAAAAGTGAAGTTGTACTCTGTGACGTAACTAATTTCTGTTTTCCACCACAGATGAACTATGTCTTCCTATAATTTAATAACTCTGTTGAATACTCCTTTACACAGTAGTGTGTGCATTGGTAGACTGGCATCAAGGTATTCCAGCTCAGCCAGTTTTTAATGTGCTACTCAATGAAAAATGAATTCCTCTGTATCTCTTTCAGATGTTTGACTATCAAGTATATTTGCTGTAAAACTTTAATTTCAATAAAATATAAGCACTATGTTCATAGATTTATGAGTGTTTTACTAGATATTCCTTGGATTTGCTTTATAGATGGTAAATGATTTTAAGCATAATTTTAATGCTGCCAAAAGACAGCAACATATTAAACAGTAGCAGCAACATTTTAGCAGTAAACTTCAAAAGTAAAAACAAAATTTTTCCTGATAATAGACAATCTTTTGGGAAGTGCTTTTCCCCCCTGGTTACACATCCTTGGGACCACTCATGTTGGTCTCACAAATGCACAGCTTTCATCCGTATTTCCATCCCAATCCTGCCCAAAAGGGAGGAGCTATATGATACAGGACAAGGATTCTGAATTGTGATATGGTGGGGAAGTGCCACAAAGCAAAGAATGGCAGCAAGAGATGTACCTACTCACATTCACATCCTTGGAACTCACCAGAGGAAAACATGCTTGTTAGAGGCATGACAGGTGAACCTATTGTGAAAAGAAATCCATTGAGAGAAAATGAAAATCTAAAACTGTCACCTCTCCATAACGTGCCTTCTACCCTGGACATTTCAGTTGTGCTCTAACTTTCACAGAGAATGTAGTTTTCGATGTGGAAAGAGAAGCAGGCGAAAACTCAATCAACCTTTCTGAAGCAAGTGCCTCTCACTCTTTGGACCATACTTTTTCTATTGGTCTTTCCCAACCAACCAGAGAAGAGCTGTGGGTCTTTCCCAACCAACCAGAGAAGAGCTGTGGGTCTTTCCCAACCAACCAGAGAAGAGCTGTGGGTCTTTCCCAACCAACCAGAGAAGAGCTGTGGGTCTTTCCCACCAACCAGAGAAGAGCTGCTGAGGTAAGCTGGCCTGCGTCTCCCTGGACTCTCAGAAGGCCCGTCTGGATCACAGTAGGTTCCACGTGAAGTAGCCAGTATAGACCACCTGTATTTGACGTCTTGGGGAGGACCTTTCTTTGGGTTCCCAGTTTTTCCATCCTGTGTCACCTCACAAATTGATTGATAAGGGTCTGGGGAAAGGCAGCCAAGATTTGGGTTTTCTCTAATCTAGGCAAAGGGAGTAGTCGTGACTCGTATGTAGTCCTGCTTTTTTCCTAGGATGGAAAAACTTGTTTAAAAGTTTGGGGTCAAAGCTCAAGGATGTTTCAATCACCTGGGCCTCCTGCCTCTTCCTCTACCACCTATCACAGAGTTTCCAGCTCTGGTGACTGGACGGAGCTTCAGGGTCCCGGCTTCTCCAATTTATTCCACCTGAGACAGGAGGCAACATGTATACCATTTACAGCTTTTTTTTGTTTGTTTATAACACCCTTTAACTGTAATAAAAGCACAAGAAACAAGAGGAAGTTTCACACAGAAAGCATTTATTATTTGTTTTTCCAGTACATCAGCATTTTAGAAAAGAGATACATTTTTAGGGAAATGAAAAATTAAGTTGAATTTTCAAAAGAGAAAAGAAAATGGCCAATTAATAAACCTATTTGGAGTTTGAAGGTGCAAGTCTGCATAGGAACAAATTAGGATTAAAGATTCTCTTTTTGATGTGCATTTTTTCCTGATTATCTCTTGATAAGCTTCATGAAAAATATGACAACCAAATTGCCTTCATACATTAGGTTAGTGACGGGGAAGGAAGAATGTATTGATTGGAAGTGAACTTAACTGTATTCGAAGATCTGGTCCTGGGAGGGAGAGGCCCCACCTCTGCAAGCCCCTGCCTCTATTTCATCCTTCCGCGGGGCTTATGCGCAGAATGTGCACTTAGGGCTGGCCTTCTCCAGTGTTGCAGTGCCATTTCTATATATATTTCTATATATGCTAAGAATTTACACGCCAGGTCCATCTTGGCCCGAGTTTTAGTAATCATAGGTTCTGCTCTTTTATCATACACAATTCATTCTGAAACTTCACAATGATCAAGGAGTGTTTGGGCGCCTAAAACTCATCAGTGTTTTCAGCCAGGGGTGTAGCGTCTTCAGGGGCACCCCCTTTTCCTTCTCCTACGCCAGATCCTTCTCTTTTCTTACTGTTACAACTGTCCCCTCCAACTTGTCCTTATGCTAATTTTTAGGTGTCCTTTGCCCTCCTCTCCCTTGTGAGTTTATCTTCAGGGAGAAATAAAAATGCATAATCACTGTTCATGCTGGTGACTGATGCTGAACAGAGAAAACTGTCACACCTTCCGAAGATGCGGGGTGTTGTTTTGACTCTTTGTGCTTCACATGATTGGCGCAAAGGCATTTCTATTTCTTTCACGGTCTAGAACTGTATTACCTAAGCTCTCTGGATCTCTGTTGCCTCTCCTGCAAAAGGAGTTAGGTCTACCACTAACACTGTATTAATTCACTGATTGATTCATTCAATACATATTTATTCTACTGACCTGGGTACTCTTCAGGTAAAGAAACCAAAGGTCTACCTATTTGGATTCCCTGAGAACCATGGTAATAACCTGTGAATGAAAACACCTTTTTAAAAATCCACTTAATAAAACTCTGCAAACAACAAATCCTCATTCTTCTTCTTGCCTGTTTCTGTTCTCTGAGTTTCCACAAATACCACTTATTTTCCACTTAAGCTGATCCCTTCTTTGGTGATCTGATTCAATCTTTTGTTTTACTGCTTGCAAAACAAAAGGGTTCACTATGTTACTGGGAAGAATGACCAATAAAAGTCCTTGCAGGAAGCAGTCATTATTTTTTTTTTCATTATTCTTAAGTCGTATTTTCTCACATCATCCTTTGAGAAGGTGTCATCTACTCACCCTTGCAACGAGGCAGACTCACTGTTCTCTTGGCATACGCGTATTAGAGAAACTTTCGGTGCTTATCCATAGCTCATAACACGTATCTCAAATGTGTTAGGGAAATTAGGAATTACATTATAATTGAATTGAATGTAAAACACTTTGTGTTCTCATTTTTAGTATTTTATGTACATCTACCTTTGCAAAGCGTACACTAAGGAAGGAAGTAGTATTGAGTGAGAGAAGCATTAAGAATTAGTTCTTTATGCAGAGTATGCTAGTTTAAACTTCAAATTTTAAATCTTAATTAAAATGACTGATTAAAACATAAACTTGCTTTTGATTCATACAGTTTTCACCTAGTATTTATGGCTTGACTGTGAACACGGTAAAGCAGCTGTGTCAGCATTTTCCAGAACACTATTCCTGCCACTTCCCTTAAAGGATGCCGGGGTCCTAAGTGTCTCCAGCAAAGGGGCTCCTCTGTATACACAGATCTACCATAAGTAGGTTACTGTCGGTCTATCTGAATTGGGGCTGTTCTCCTGGTAGCCAGCTTTAACTCAGGAGACCACTTAAAATAGACAAAGTTTTAGGACAGCTGTGTTACATAATTAACAACCAAATGGTTTCAGATGAACCATAATTTTATTAGCTATTAAAGTAAAAAACTAGATACTTGTAACAATGCTTTGCTGAGATATATTTCTTATAAATTCTTCAAAACAGTAAGTTCCCTCATTTCAATTATTTTAATCTGTTTGATGAGTTGTCCATCTACTGCCTACATGTGTCTAGGAGACACGTAAAACTGTTTCTGAAAACAGGACTAAAGGGCAAGTCATGAAAAACCCATTTGGTTACTAGATTTTCTTCAAGGACTCTACTTGTTATTAGCTAAGAAAAAGTCTTATCATTCACTGTCCTAAACAAATAAAAACACCAGTTAAAGGCCAGTGATAAGAAGAAGAAGAACAGGTCATTTATTTTCAGTAACCAAACCTTCTGTCACCAAATCACAGGGACCAAACGACCCAAGAGCGGGTGAGTCTATGCGGTAATAATACAGTCTTCAAAAGGTAATGACATTCACATTCTCAACAGCACAGACAGGACCATTTAATTTCTTCAACAGAAGACAATCACTTGCACAGTGTCATAATAAATAAATATCTCTATACTAAGACACAGTATGAGAGAAGCAATTCGGAAGACAGTATCGGGCTCACAAGCGCTAATCCAATCATCTGGGAGGTACTTTCCTAAATGAGGTACTAGGGAAAAAAATCACTTGAAATTCATTTCAAAGGTTACGGTCTTTAAAAATCAGGACGGAGGGGAAGTACAGAGAACAAGTTTATTTTTTAATTTTACTCTAAAATACAAACAAGACTCCTTCAGATTATGTCAACAGAACTCGATATATTTTTGTTTCCAAATTCCTAGCATGAAAGTCGTAAATATTAGGCTTGAAACTGCTGACATTGATCAAAACTAACGGCACACAAAGAAAACTGTTTTAAAATTATCAGTTACACGAAACAAGCAATTCCTAAGTACAGGGCTCTTGAGTACAAAGCTTATAAAAGAGTTCTACAATTACCAAAATCTCAGAGGCCAAAAAAGATACTAGCAATTTTTTTTCAAAAACAGTGCTTTGAAGCAGAATACTAGTTTAAATTATATGAAACAACCTGGACAAGATTCTGATGCAACATCACAACTGAGATGAGGATGAAACAATATCTGAATTCAGCCCAGTTCAACCACAGAGCCACCTAAAGCCTATTTCCTTTTCTAAATGAAACAAGAGTTATCTCAAAACTTTTAAGCATTTAAATGATCAGCATTTCCTTTATCTGTCTGTGGAATATAAGAACATATTCTTAAAGCAAGACGAGGTGAAAAAAAAAAGCAAAACAAATCTGTGCAGGACACTCTGCCTGCTTTATCACAGACTGCATCAATACATTAAGGCTCCTTCCAGAATTCTAGAACTTCAGGTGAATTCTATCCAAACTAAGACACTGCAGAACAGGGGGGATAAAATTAAAATTTCCACCTTTGATGGAAACTTCCATGAATTTCAGAAAAAGTGAGCAAAGTATACAGCTTTCAGATGAAAAACATCAGTGCCTTGATCACTTTAAGTGCGTTAATTTTTTGAAACAATTTAAGCAAAGGTTTCTTTATTCCAGTTATCTGGTACTGTCCATCTTGAAAAAAAAAAGCAAGAATTCTGCATTTTTTAAAAAAATCTCTTTTCCTAGAGAAC